ATGAATGGCCAACAGACATATAAAAAAATGCTCAACATCACTCAGCATTTGGGAAATGCAAATCAAAACCACCCTGAGATATCATCTCACTTCAGTTAAACTGGCTAATATCCAAAAGACTGAGAATAATAAATGCTGATGAGGATGCACAGAAAGAGGAACTTTTCTACACTGTTGGTGGGACTGCAAAATGGTGCAGCCTCTATGGAAAATGGTATGGAGGTTCCTCAAATAATTACACATAGATCTACCATATGAACCAGCTATCCCACTGCTGGGTATATACCCAAAGGAATGGAAATCATCATGTTGAAGGGATACCTGCACTCCCATGTTTATTGCAGCACTATTTACAATAGCCAAGAATTGGAGCCAGCCTAAATACCCATCATCAGATGAGTGGATAAGGAAAATGTGATATATCTAAACAATGGAATGCTACTCTGCTGTAAAAAAGAATACCATTCACAACAACATGGATGGACTTAGAGAAAATTATATTAAGTGAAATAAGCCAGGCACAGAAAAATACTGTGTGCTCTCACTTATTTGTGGGAGCTAATAAAAATAAATAAGTAAATAAACAAATGAATGGGGGGTGGGGTCAGGGAAGAAGACACAACAATTTCTTGATTTTCTTAAGACATGTGAACAGATATGATGTTGATGGGGAGGCAGGGAGGGAGGAAAAGGAGGAATTGATAAAGGGATGCAAAAATCAACTATATTGTATACTGATAAAATAAAAAAGTAAAATGGATTTGAAAAAAAAATAAAATTTTGCAAGTGTTTATTGAACTTTAAGAAAAAATTGTGACATTTTCCCTCTATCCACTTATTTTCCCAGACTAACATACATATTGGAGTTCACCTCCCTGGAGCCATTTTTAGAGAAATAAGCAAAATCAATCAGTAGAAAAAACTTGAACTCCCTACCTAGTAAGCCCCATGAGGGTATTCTCAGGCTTAAGATCTAAATGAAGTCTCTTCTAATGGAAGTAAAGGAAGGCTTATTCCAATTCCTTCATGATCCGAGAGGGAGGAAAAGAAGTGAGACAGAAATCCTCCTCTGGATCATAGCCATAAACAGGGCCTTAGTTTCCAGCCCTGTTTCCCTTAGGGAATCCAACCAACTGACCAAGCAATGGCTGGGCACTATTGGTCAAACATATGTACACTTGGCACTTCCTACTGAGTTCACCCTTGAGCCTGGTGTTACCTGTTATGGGTCACATAAATAATTAGAGATGTAGGATGTCAGAGGTCCTCCGGGAGGGAAGGAGAGCACAAAGGTCCTGTTGGAGGCTCAGCTCTGCACAGGTTGTACATTGGACATTCATGGGGTAAGGTTTGGTCAGATTGGGAATGGAGAGGTCTATAAACCAGTGACGGGAGAACTAGGATTAGGCTCTTGGATATAAAACTTTGGCCCGTAGTGGGATGTGTGGGCTTTTCCAAAATGACAGAGGGAAGATGAGCCAGGAATAAGGACAAAGAGATCTCAGCAGGAGTTTCTCCGTATGGCAAGTATATGATTTTAAATATCTTGAAAGCTAGGATTCCAAAGCTTCCTTTTTGCTCTTAGTCCGTTTGGGCTGCTCTAACAAAATACCTTAGGCTGGGTAACCTATAAACAACAGAAATGTATTTCTCACAGTTCTGGAGGCTGGGAAGTCCAAGATCAAGGTGCTGGCAGTGTGTGGTGAGGGCCCACTTCTTCATAGATGACACTTTCTCGCTGTATTCTCACATGGTGAAAGAAGCAAACAAGCTCCCTTGGGCCTCATTTTTTTTTTGGTGACTGGCCAGTATGTAGATCTGAACCCTTGACCTTGGTGTTACTAACACCACATTCTAGCCTAGTGAGCTAACTGGCCAGTCTGTTGGGCCTCTATTATGATGGCACTAATCCCATTCATGAGGGCTCCACTCTCATGTCATAATCACCTCCCCAAAGGCTCCATCTATTAATACTATCACATTGGGGATTCAGTTTCAACATATGAATTTTGGGGTACACAAACATTCAGACCATAGCATATCCTGAAAATTGAACAGTTTTGGCATCAACATGTACTTGCTTTTCTTCTCCCAAGTTCATATTCTAAAATGTGCCCTTGACCAGGTAAGTTCCAATAGCAAAATCAATGACTGTAAATATTGCCTAATAGTAAAGGAAAAAATGCAGCTCAGAGACCATGGAAGGGATTGGGTTCAATATGGCATACAAAGTATTATTCTCTTTCCTTTGCTTTCTCTCTGTCTCTGTCTCTCGGCCTTATTTTCTTTCTCAAATGTCTGGCACGATATTTGTTTAAAATGGGCTTACTTATGCCTGAATCTCTACTCCACCTGCCCCTAGATTTCTTTTTTCCAGTCTTTCTTCATCAGAGTGGATGTGTTCTGTTAATAATGCTAGTCATGGAGCACTCACACATTAGGAGTTTAGCTGCAAAGTAATATTAAGAGCTGGCTAGACATAAACAGACAGCTCTTTTACAAACAAAAGAACTAGCCCTCCATTTAAAGTTCTCACCTCTGCTCCCAGTCACATCTAGTCCTTTAATGTTAGCCCTCTCTCTGCTCATGAACTTAATTCATGTTCCAAATATCTGAGAACTCATAATGGGAAGGCTCCATAATTCTTCCAGGAAGCTCATAAGGAAAAGCAGCAACAATGACGAATAATCCCTATGAAAGATTTTCTGGATGGACTGAACAGGGACTTTATGTCTTAAATTTAGTTTAAAGTGGTTTCAGAGTGGTAGTAATCCAGATCTTGCCTGAACATTTTATAATCCCTAGAAAAGAAAGGCATTTTTGGGCCGGCCCGTGGCTCACTCGGTAGAGTGCGGTGCTAATAACACCAAGGCCCTGGGTTCGGATCCCACATAGGGATGGCCGGTTCGCTCGCTGGCTGAGCGTGGTGCTGACAACACCAAGTCAAGGGTTAAGATCCCCTTACCGGTCATCTTTTAAAAAAAAAAAAAGAAAGGCATTTTTATCCAAGGATATGGAAAAGCCCCATAAAATCTCTTTTGAAGGACAGAGTGACACATAAACATAACCAACAAAAAAAGGAAGCAAACTGAGTGAAGAATTAAAAAAAAAATTTACAAAGATATCCATAAAATCTTCAGTTGTTGGTATTATCAGATACATATTGTGAAATGATACCTACCATGTTAAAAAAAACTTTGAAAAACTGAAATAAAAAAAATCCCCTTGAGAGGGAATTACTTACGGGAGATAGATCAGAATAAATTATCCAGACTGCAACACTGAGATTGAAAAACAGAAATTACAGAGGATTTAGGACACATGGAGTACAGAGAATGGCAAGACCTGCCTTCCGTTTAGATTTTACAAGGGATAGAAAGAATGCGGAAGAGGCAATATATGAGAGATGAAAAGTTTGCTGGCAGGAAGATGGCACTTCACAGATTCAAGTTGTTCAACAAATCTCAAGCAGGAAAAAAAAAAAAAAGAATTTTATGCCTAGAAAGATTATGCAAAACTGCTGAAACACATTCAGTTCAAAGTCCAGGATTCTAAGGGGAGAAAATCCTAATATCCTAGTCCCTGAACTCCCAGCTTAAAAATCTCAATTTTTCCTTTGTAATTTGTATTTTAATATTAAAAACAGCTCATCGTTCTAAAAGAACATTCACCAAATGACATGCAATTCTCAGAGAAGGGAATACTAAGGCCAACAGACAATGAAAAGATTCTCAACCTAATTAACAATTAAGAAAAGCAAAAGTAAGCCACAGCGAGTTACAATTTCATGCCTAATCGGTTGGCAAAGTTTAAAATTCTAACAAAATCGAGTGCTGGCACTAATAGTTGGCAACCAAAATAACTATAAACTCTGGTAGGAGTGTAAATTCGTTCAACTTTGGAAAACAATTTGTCATTGTATAATAAAGTCGTAGATGGGAACATACTTTGAGAAGACAAACCTTTCCTTATTACATACTCTAAGCATTGAAAGGATACCAGCTGATGCCATGTTTTTTAAAACTATGGCTGCTGTATGAATTAAATACCACACCCACACAACATACCAATGTAGAAGCGTATCTAATGAATATCATGCACATAAAGTACTTGAAATGGATAAGAAAATTCATAGCCATAGTATTTGATTCTTAAAAATAAGAAAAATAAATTTAATTTAAAATAGAAAATAAACAACCCAAGTACACACTACCAGTAGATTGCTCCGGCCTATGTACATAGATGTCCATCGCCCCTTTGGGTGGGCTGGGCAAGGTCAAAGTTTAGTAAGCGCTTCTGGGGACCGAGGCGGCTCAGGCTGCGGGTTACGGGAGGAGTGATTCTTCCTAGGATGCGATTCATTGTCCTCAAAGCGCTCACCTGAGCTCAATATTTCCAAGTCCTTCGAGGGCGCCTAACGCACATCACAACGGCGTCAGTAGCGTCACAGAAGTGACATGTCCGCATGAACTTCCGGGACAGGTCCTTGGTTGGCGGACAACTATTGTTGTGACTGTCCGGCCCCGGGGCATTCTGGGAACTATAGTCCTGGGCAAGCGGGTGCCAAATACTCAAATAGCACAGGAGCTGGACGCCGTAGCAGAAGGGTGTTGGATGAGAGGAGACCCTCCACCAGCAAAGGACAGTTTTCATACGGTACCAGCAAAGCCTGCCCACGTCGCGGGAGGAGAACGTATTCGTGAGCGCAAGAATGACCCGGAAGACCTTGTCGAGGCCACATAATTTTCTGGGAAGTGTAGTTTTGCGATACGGGCGCCATTGTCCTTACAACGCAAGCAGAGGGTTGCCCTTGGTTCTGGAAGTGCAGAAGGCGACCGTGTGCTCTCGACACTTGGCGTGGGACAGCTCCAGGCGGTATAATTTCTTAGAAAGCCGAGATCGTTTTTCTCACGGTGCGACAAGTTGCGCGGCCGCAGAGACTCGTGGGAAGTGTGGTTTTCGGGGGGGGGGGGGGCGGCCATTCGCGGCGCCGGTAACTTTTGTCCCGGACGCGGAGGAGTCTGGGAGATGTCGCTCTGGGCTCGTCCCGCGGTAGTCTCGGGCCTGACAGCCGACTCTTGGAATCTGGAAGGACCTTGGACAGTGTAGTTCCCCTGAGGGCGAAGGCCGTGGTCAGCTCGCCAGTGACCCGGCGCGTCAGGTACGTGGAGGTGCCCGCTCTGGACATCTCGGGGCTTCGGTGGCGGTGAGGTCCCGCCGAGGATTCCGGCAAGACGGGGTCCCAGGAGCGGGGCTGGCGGGCCTCAGGCTAGCGGAATCCGGGCGCTAGACCGGGTCGCCGGAACTTGCTGGGCCCCGGGCTGCCCCGCAGCGCGATCTCGGCCAGGGCCTAAGCGTCTCCGGGCCTCCACGTCCTGCTCTGTAAGAGGGGAGCTGTTGCGACAGCGAAACGGGCGAGTGACCGACTGTACGGAGTGCGCACTCAAAGCGAATGCCATCTGCAATTAATTGTCTTTATGTTATCCAGTCATGAAACTGACGCTTTCCAGTTGTGTAACCTTGAACAGATGGGTTAATATCGCCAAGTTTCATCGTCTTGTCATCCTTTAAATAAAAATCTGGAACAGCGTGAATGCCCACTGTGCATAGTGGTGAATATTGAACAAAATGATATTTAAGATTATTGTTATTGTTGTTTTATGAGTCTGTCTCTTATGTACAGAACAGCTGATTTTCCTTTGACGTGGCACCGTTTAAATAAAAATCTGGAACAGCGTGAATGCCCACTGTGCATAGTGGTGAATATTGAACAAAATGATATTTAAGATTATTGTTGTTGTTTTATGAGTCTGTCTCTTATGTACAGAACAGCTGATTTTCCTTTGACGTGGCACCTGGTAAATGGTTACCCCGTGCCAAGAAACACCCTGTTAGTTCACAGGGAGACATTGGAGCCCCAGAGATTGATTACCAGTGTGATGTTCTGTTATGGTGTGTTACAGAGCTGTAAGATAAGCCTACTTCATGACTGCTTTTTCCTGCCCTTGCGCTGCTTTCTCAGAACGCTGCCTATTTATAAAACAAGACCTTGGAAAGAGGACTGTGGTGACTATTGGAAATTGCAAAGTAATGTCTCAGGTAAGTTGGTATGTCCCCAGATCTTCCTGAAATACTTTCTTATCAGGATTCTTGAGTGTTTGCTTTGCTTCTCCTGCCAGTTCCTACCTAACAACTCCATTTAGGGACTGGATCTTTGGTTCTTTTCATTGTAGGAAAGGATGGAGTCCATAGGAGAGCTCCAAAATACTGTCTCCCTCTTAGTGCTTCTCTTTTCTACCAGTTTTCGGTTAGAAGACTCTCTAAAGTATTGAGCCAACATTTTTTTTTATTACAACTAAAAATGAAAGTTTGGAGTTTTAAATTATTTGCTTTATGGTTGTCAAAGCTGATCATGTGGTTTCAATTAATGGTATATCAATCCTTCCAGTTGCTCAAGTCTAGGGATATTTGGTGTTGGTTGTCCTTGAATCTTTGCTTTCACTTATAACTCACATTCAGACACTCTAGTTGGATCTAAAATATATACAGAATCTGACTGTTGGTACCCCATCACTGTCACCACCACTGACTGCCTGTTCTAAGTCACAAGGATTATTGCAGTAGTCTCCTAGCTGTATTAAGATAAGTGCTAGACAAGATATCCTAAATTCTTCTGGGGACAAACATGACAGAACTCCCCAGGCTGTGCAGGAAATTAAAGGGGAAGAGACGGTTGAAGCATCCCTGAAGAAGTAAGGCTGGAACTGGGTTTTGGTCACCTATAGCACCAGGGAGGAAGAGAGGTAGAAGTGAAGTTACACTGAACTGATAACACACCTTGAGCATAGGTAGAGAGCCCTAAGAGGGTCTTTTAAGGAATTGCACAAATTTTCTAAAGCAGTGGCTGTCAAACTAGGGGTGCTTTTGCCCCCTTTGTCCCCACCCATAGGGGACGTTTGGTAATGTCTAGAGACATTTTTGGGTGTTTTGGTTGCCACAGTCAGGGTGGGGGGGTGGGATGGTATTGTTACTGGCATCTAGTGGGTAAGAGGCCAGGATGCTGCTGAACCTTCTATAGTGTACAGGACAGCGCCTCACAACAAAGAATTACAGTGTCAAGGTTGAGAAACCCTGCTCTAAATAAAGAGCAAAGAGCATCTATTGATGAGATTAGGTGGATTTTCTTTTTTAACCTATTCAGTGACATTCATTAAATATGCGTTCAAAACGAAATATGAAATATCTTTGCATTCACAGAATAAAACATAGTGTTTTATGCATTTAGTATACTGTTGAATTTTTTATTTGGTTTATCAGGTGAGATTTATAAAATCTAAAACGATGTGGAAAGTAGGAAAAAAATAGAAAGATTTTCAGTTCATATGATAACCCTAATTCCTGGGTAAGTGCAAATACAAGTTTAAAAAAAAAGAATTTACGCTGGTGCCAGAGGGAAAGAGATCTTGTTCCCCCCTGTGTACCCCCCCCATTTTCTTGTAGTGTTTCCTTGAGAAAAACCTATAATTGTAAGACCTTTTTCTGTCCCTTTGAGGTAGATGTAAATCTTTTAAAAAGCAAACCAGTTTTAAACTGGTAAGACTAGTTTTACTAATCAGTGAAGTCTTTCTTAAGGGCCCTGGAGCCATCTTTTTGAAATGCAAATGTAAAGGAAGATAGTGCCCCTATCTCCCTTTATGTTTCAGAATTTAGTCTCCGCTGCTGGCTCTAATTTGTTTGCCAGAAAGATAGGAGAAATTTTATTTTTCTGTGGGATAAAGGCAATTAACTAACACAGTGGCCACTCCAATTAACAGGTGAATTTAGGATGAACCATGTGTAACAAATTGTGCCGTTAAGCCCTCTTTCTTGAGGACAAGTTATCATGAATTTGGAAAACATGTGTGTAACAGATTGTGTCTGCCTGGCTTTATAAAAGGGTGAGATTTTCTGTCCTTGCAGTCTCATTAGTGGGTTGCCTGTGAAGTGCATCATAGTCTGGTTTAATGCTTATTTAATAATAAAACTGTTTTCCTTCTTTTCTAAATTTGTGAAGAGGATTTTCTGCATTGGCAAGAGACTTAATTTTTATTTATTTCCCTAACGCCTGACAAAGGTACATTCCGCCTTTGAAACCAGAGACCAGTGTCACTGATGAACATACATGCAAAATATCCAAGTAAAGTAATAGAATATTTCAATTAACCAGTCTTGGAATGAAAAATTTGACACAGCCAAGCAATGTCTATTTCAAAAACAAAAGATAGTAACAATGCCATTTTAAGTGCATGTATTTTTTGCACATATTATAGTTTAATTAACCAATAAGCTATTATTGAATATTTAAGCTTTTTCTAAAGTTCTGCTATTTTAAATACTGTGAATGAGTACTACTGAGAGGAAATTTCTAATTATGTCTACGAGCATTTCCTTAGAACATTTTCCTTGAAAAGTGCTCTTTTATTCCTTACTTTTAAGGTCATTTTCAAGGACTACCTGTGACATGAAACCGTCCTTCAGTTTTCTCAGCCAGGAGTCTTAAGTTATTTTAATTATTGAATGACTATCAATACAAGGTTCAAGTATACAGCATCCCTCCGTATCCTAAGGGGATTGGTTCCAGGATCCCCCACTGATACCAAAATCTGTGGATACTCAAGGTCCTTATATAAAAATGGCATAGTATTTATGTATAAGCTTTGCAATCCTCCAATATACTTTAAATCATCTCTAGATTACTGATAATACCTATATAATGTGAGTGCGAATAATTGTTATATTGTATTTTTTTTTTTTAATATTTTCAGTTTGAATACTTGAATCCATGATTGGTTGAATCCACAGATTTGGAATCTGTGGATACAGAGAGCTGACTGTACACAGTAAATATATTTTCCTTTTTTCTTATGAATTAGTTATGTGTATGTCTTAGTCCATTTGTGCTGCTGTAACAGAATACCACAGACTGAGTAATTTATAAACAATAGAAATTTATTTCTCATGGTTCTGGAGGCTGGAAAGTCCAAGATCAAGGGGCTGGCATCTGGCCAGGGCCTACATCCCATGGCAGAAGGGCGAAGAGAGGGAGGGAGAGACAGGGACAAATGAAAAGACAAAAGAGGGCCAAATTCGTCCTTTTATAAGGAACCCACTCCAGTCATAATGGCCCTAATCCATTCATGGGGGCAGGGTCTTTGTGGCCTAATCACCTCTTAAAGGTCCCACCTCTTAATATTGTTGTAATGGTGATTAAGTTTCCAACACAAGTTTTTGGGGGGACACATTCAAACTATAGCAGTGCATGTCTATCAGTCTTTAACATACAGCTGTCTTTTTTTTCCTGAAACCATTAGATCATTCTTTTTTTTCTTGAACTTTAGTGTATCCTGTTTGAGCATCCCATTTAAGGGACAACTGCTTTAGCCTCATTTTAAAATTACTTACCTAGCACTTAAGCTATAAAAGACATAACAAAGTTCTTGACTATGTGCTGTGAAATGTTGAAGGCTGATTTTTAAAAATTTGTATAATTCTATTCTCTTTGACAGAATTAACTCTTCTGAAGCAAAGCTCTTATATTTGTTTCTTGCCCTTATTGTATGACAGTGCCAAGCTCATAATTATCCAGTCATTACTTAACTGAGATTAGATTCCTGATCATTGTCACAACTGTTAAATCTTATTCCTTTTCTTCCACAGCCAGGGTAATTTTACCCCTTAGACAGTGACAGAAGAGATCTGAGCTATGGTTGAACCTAAATATCTTTGCTCTTTCAGGTGACATTTAGTGATGTGGCTATAGACTTCTCTCATGAAGAGTGGGGAAGGCTAGATTCTGCTCAGAGGGATTTATACAAGGATGTGATGGTCCAGAATTATGAAAACCTGGTCTCTCTAGGTAAGCACATTTTCCCTTCCACTCTGTTAGGGGAGATCTTTTTTTGCTACTTGGAATTGCTAGAGATCCTCCTATGTAAATGGATGAATTTCTGTATCATGTTCCCAAGGAAATGTGCAGCTTTTTTGTGCCTTGCCTGAAGCTTATCTTCCCATTTCAGTGAGAACAGCCTTCAACCCTTCCTTTGGTCCCTCTTGTGATGGCCTCTCATCCTTGAGGACCACAGCTTAAACAAGTTCTATATTCTTCCTCTAAGCAGGTCTTTCCATAACTAAGCCATATGTGATCACTTTATTGGAGGATGGAAAAGAGCCCTGGATGGTGGAGAAAAAACTGTCAAAAGGTATGTTTCCAGGTGAGTCATAGTGAATCAGGCTAAGGAAGTCTTCGTTACAGATGGTTTTAGTGAGTTTGGAGGCATTTTAGGGATACTGTTTTCAGTATCCCTTAAATACTGAAGATGTAAATGAAATTGAGGCATCTTTAGCTTCAATTTCAAAGTGATCATTCCTCCATCCCAAATTATTATGTCTGTATTACTTATGTCATCTAATCAAAGGTGGAGACTTTTTGCCATCATAATAATTCAAATTGTTATTCTACTTGGAACAAAATAAGGCAAATTATTCTTAAGTCCACTTAAGGAAAAATATACTGATGGTTCTAGGCTTAAAAAAAAGCTGTCAATTAGATGGAAAACACTTCCTCTAAAGCTGAGCTTCATAGATAAAATATGAACATAAGTGTTAGAGGAAGTAGGAATACATAAGAATACATTTCTAATAATCATATTTTCTGATGTCCAGTAAATAATCATATGATTTCACACAGGTACTATATAAGTATCTTGGAGAAAGGCTGTGAGACAAAATGTGATCTTTGACATGAATGTAGGCACAAAATCATTTTTTTTTCTTTTCTTTTTTTTTTTTTAAGAAAAGATGACCGGTAAGGGGATCTTAACTCTTGACTTGGTGTTGTCAGCACCATGTTCTCCGAAGTGAGCTAACCGGCCATCCCTATATGGGATCTGCACCCGTGGCCTTGGTGTTATCAGCACCACACTCTCCCGAGTGAGCCACAGGCCGACCCAAAATCATTTCTTTCTAATAGTTAATAGTTTCATTTTTTTTCTCACATACTGATTGCATATATTTTACTCATTTCCCTTATCACACTCTGCTCCTGCCTCTGTGAGCTATATGCTCTGTGCTCTACCTGAGCACTATTCAAAAGTCACTGAAATATATGGGACTTGTCAGAGCCATGTATCTTCTGGGGGCTTTATTTCTTATCTAATTATCCTGTTTCCACTGTAGAATTTCTTTCAAGAAGTGTGGAAAAAGCAGTGTTTTGCTTTCTTGATATATTTCAGATTGGGAATCAAGACGAGAAAACAAGGAATTATCAACAAAGGAGGATATTTATGATGAAGATTCACCCCAAACAGTAATAATAGAAAAAACTCTTAAACAAAGTTGTGAATTTTCAAATTTTAATGAAGACTGGGAATATAGACAGAAATTGGAAGGGAAGTGTGTAAATCAGGTAGAACATTTCAGACCAGTGACACTCAGCTTTAGAGAAAGCCCCACTGGGGACAGTGTTTACAAATACAGTACATTTAGAAGCATCTTCCATTTAAAGTCTCCTCTTTCTGAACCAGAGAGAATTTCAGTTGAAGGGAAATCAGATAAGTGTGATATATTGAAGAAGAATTTACCAAGAAAGTCAGTTATAAAAAATGAGAAAATCAATGGCAGAAAGAAACTTTTGAATTCTAATGAAAGTGTGGCAGCCTTCAACCAGAGCAAATCTCTGACCCTTCACCAGACTTATAATAGACAGAAATTCTATACATGCAGTGAATGTGGGAAAGCCTTTGGCAAACAATCAATCCTTAATCGCCATTGGAGAGTTCATACAGGAGAGAAACCCTATGAATGTCATGAATGTGGGAAGACTTTTAGCCATGGCTCATCCCTTACTCGACATCAGATAAGCCATAGTGGAGAGAAACCTTACAAGTGTATTGAATGTGGGAAGGCCTTTAGCCATGTCTCATCACTTACTAATCATCAGAGCACTCACACTGGAGAGAAACCATATGAATGTATGAACTGTGGAAAGTCTTTTAGTCGTGTTTCACATCTCATTGAACATCTGAGAATTCATACTCAAGAAAAACTCTATGAGTGTCGTATGTGTGAGAAGGCCTTCATTCATAGGTCATCTCTCATTCACCATCAGAAAATTCATACTGGAGAGAAACCTTATGAATGTAGTGAATGTGGGAAAGCCTTTTGCTGTAGCTCACACCTTACTCGACATCAAAGAATTCACACCGTAGAGAAACAATATGAATGCAACAAATGTCTGAAAGTCTTCAGTAGCCTCTCGTTTCTTACTCAGCATCAGAGTATTCATACTGAAGAAAAACCCTTTGAATGTCAGAAATGCAGGAAATCCTTCAACCAGCCTGAATCATTGAATATGCATTTGAGAAATCACATTAGATTGAAACCTTATGAATGCAGTATATGTGGGAAAGCCTTCAGTCATAGGTCATCTCTGCTTCAACATCACAGAATTCATACTGGAGAGAAACCTTATGAATGTATTAAATGTGGGAAGACCTTCAGCTGTAGTTCAAACCTTACTGTACATCAGAGAATTCACACTGGAGAAAAGCCATATAAATGTAATGAATGTGGGAAAGCTTTTAGCAAAGGCTCAAATCTTACTGCCCATCAAAGAATACACAATGGAGAGAAGCCTAATAGTGCGTTAAGTGTGGAAAAGCCCTTAGACCATATAAATTACTATACATCTGAGAAATCATATAAGAGAGAAACTATATAAAGCAGTATTTGTCATAATAAACTCCAGCAATAGATCCTCCTTGATTCAACATCAGAAAATTTATAATGGAGAAAAGTCTTGTGAATGTAGTGAATATGGGAAGACCTTTAGCAATGATAAAAGCTTTAGTGTTTATAGACAGTATACTGTAGAGAAAACGTGCAGACAATAAATGAGGGAAAGCCTTTGTCAGTATTAACCCCTTAATTGACATAAGTAAATCCACACCAGAAAAACTACTCTCTATGTAGCATACATGGGAAAGGCTGTAGGCAGTATGAATCTTCTGCAAACTCATACAGGAGAGAAGCTGTATAAATATAGAAAATTTAGAAATTGTGGGAAATCCTTCAGTTTAAGTGCATCTCTCTACATCAAAGAACTCAAAGAGAAATCTGATGTAAGAAATGTAACAAAGTACTTGTAAGACATCAGAAGATTAGTGGCAGAATAACCTGAAGGATGTAGGAATTATATGTAAATCTTTGCAGTAATGCTATTTATAAACAATTCTACAGGAGAGCAAACAAGCATATAAATATGCATTTCTTTTTTTTTTTTTTGTCTTTTTGTCTTTTTGTCTTTTTCCGTGTCCGGCAATGGATCGCAACCCTCAGTGTTGTCCCCGTACTGGACCGGGGACCGGCAACGGGATTGCAACCCTCGGTGTTGCTCCCGCGCCTCGCTCAGCCAGTGAGTGGGAACCGGTCTGTATGTGGGATCCGAACCCCCGGGCGGGAGCACCGCTGTTCTTCCCAAGCGGCGCACTTATCCAGTGTGCCACTGGGCCGGCCCTAAATATACATTTCTTATAGCAGTAGCGTACAATTTTATTCAAGTCCTATATAGAAATTATTTTTAGCTCATGGGTATGGGTTAGATACTTAGTCACCCGGTGGATCCAGTAAACATAATGTTGAAAATTAAAGCTGCAAAAGAAGTACACATGATGTTAATAAAATTTTTGGTCTCTAATAAAATCATTTTGGATATAATGAACTCTTCACTGTGACTCTATTTCTTGCAAAATTTTTCACTACTTGAATAATTAAGATTAGCCTTAGTATATATCCTTTAGTGGGATTCTAGCAAACCTAGAGAAAATGGGCTGTTTTCTGTGCTAAGAATATCATTATTTTGGTGAGGTTAATTCACAGTCCATTTATAGTGGGCTTAATTCACACATTTCACGAAAATTTGTTGAGTATCACTTACATGTATTACACAATGCTGTGGTCAGGGATATAATGATGCAGTAGTTCTCAGCTTTAGTAGTGTGTCAAAATCACCAGGAGGGCTTATTAAAGCACTGACTTCTAAGCCTTGACCCCACAGTTTCTGTTTCAGTTGGTTTGAGGTGAAGCCAAGAACATGTGTGTGTGTGTTTGGGGGTGGGGGGGGCATTCTAGGTAAAGCAAACAAGCAAGTTTTTGTTGTACTTGATGCAGCTGGACTCCGTGTTCCAATATCTAGTTTCAAGTTCTGTGGCTTTGAGGGTATTATGTTGGCAGCATCACTGGTAACAGCAGCAGTCATTTCTCCATCCCTGGTTTATGGTTATGGGGGTTTACCTTGAAATCAGTAGTAGTCTAGAAATGTCTCCATTACTTCTCCAGCTTGCCTACTATTTCTGAAAATATTACTTTCCTGATGTATATGTCTTCTTGCAATACTTGAGAGTTTTTGTTTCTGCACTGACAGATAATTATGGTTTGTGAGGAGGATGGCTTCAAATATTCTAAGTTCTAGGTAAGAAATGGAATAGACTCACTGGCCCTGAGGTTTCCTATCTTGTGACTAGAAGGATAGTACAGATCAATGTGATTAGGAGTGTATGTTGCAAATAAAGTACAGTTATAAAGTTTGTTTCGGATTTTGTTCTTTATGACATTTGAGAGTTGTAAGTAAAATATGTTATTTTTTAAAAAAGGAACATTATATCATTGATGTAATAACTCTGGTATAGAATGAATAAGATTTCTGACTTTAGACAAAATATTCTCCTCGATACATGTGATACTTTACTGAAAGCCAAAGCATGGAGATATATTCCAATAGCAATTCTCAATAGAGATGGTGGGTTTGGAATGGGATGGTGTGAAGTTTTAATATTCAGCAGGGATTTATCTTTGATTTGTTTTTAGTCAGGAGATTTATTTTGAAATTCTATGGAATGTTGAAGGATCTTTGAGGGATTTATAATTAAGGATATGGCATGGTATCAAACAAGGATTAAGAACAGTTGTAATTATGGATAGTTTGGCCACTGCATACATATAGTTATGGGATAATGGCTGAAGCTTTCTTTCCTCCCATTCTGTCCTTCCTGTGCTCTCCCAAGCAACTGGAACCGCAGATATGAAGTAGTCCTGTAATCCCCAGATTTTATTTGCTTTCACTACACATAGTTTTATGCTGCCTTTTTACTTTGTTATGAGAAGATTCATCCAAATACCCATGCTTTGCCACTTCAAAAGCATGAGCATACACACATTAATGTTTAACAATTCTTTTAACTCAATGTGTCTTCACAATAACAACTAGGGGAGAAAAGGCCAGATTTTTAAATAAAGACAGTGAAGATTTTAAGAAAGCTATAAGGGAATATTACCATGTTATGATGAAAGATTGGGCTGAGATCATAATGATGTTATGATGTCTTTGACAGAGAATCATATTGTTTCTTTTGTCATATCTGTTAATCATTTCTTAAGCATCTACTTTGGGCCAGATAAATAAGACACAATCCATACCCTTTAAGAGCTCAAAGGTGTGTGTGTTTGAAGAGCGTAAGCTCTGGAGTCATGTTACCTGGGTTTAAATCCAAGTTGCGTGTATAGTGGCTTTCTGTGAACTTGGGCAAATCGTTTCACTGTCATGTCTAAGTTTCTTCATCTGTAAAATGGTAATAACACCTATCTCATAGCATTATTATGAAGATTAAATGAGTTAATTGGTGTAAAATGCTTACAACAATGCCTGGCGCCTCAAAAGCATTCAGTAAGTATTTGCTGTTGATTGAATCATCTTCACATCATCATTCTGGTCTCAAATGTCACATCTTCTAGTAGGTCTTCCTACTCATTTGTCACTCATCTACTATTGGTTCACTTTTTTTGTGGGGAAGGATCTTACAAAACACCCTCATTTCCTTCCAGCCAATCCTCCTTTGGTATCTGATGCATTTTGAGGGGGAGTATATTTTTTGCCCCAAATAATCAGAGGACACACAGACCAGGTAGGAGAAGGTGAGACAAGAACACAGCAGGGCTATGGGAAGGAAGGAGGGTGCCCTACAGAGTTGGAAAAAGGGCAGAATGAAGGAGGCTTCAGATCCCTGAATGGAGGAGAGGTAAGGCTTACCCAGTGAGACCAGAAGCCTATAGGTCGTCAGCATCACCTCTCAGGACAGGGTCCCCTGGGCTGGGTACAACTGCCTTCACTCTTCTTGAATAGGTTACAGCCACATCTTTGAAGATCACTGATGCCTAAAAAATCAAACAGGGTTGTTTCATTAACCTTGGGCCAGTTAGATGTGATAGAGCCTATTAGTTATTGGTAAAGATCTAGAAAGAACCAAGATATGTATCACTGAGCACTTCCTGTGGGCCTAGCTCTGTGCTAGGCTCTAAGGGGGAGTCAGACACTGCCTTTAAGCAGATTGCAGTTGTTTTAGAGAAAAAAAGCCTCCCATGCAGAAGACTTTGATGGAAGACGTAAGACAGTGACAAGGCTGTGTGGCCTAACAGGTGCAGGGAATAAGCTCCTTGGCATTAAAGATAAATAGAGAAAAATTGTAATGATAATAATACAATATTATTAATAGCAACAGCGGCTGAGCCTCATGGGTCCTCACTGTGTACATGCACTGTGTGCTGAGGGTTTCATATGCAGAATTCAAGCAACTAAATTTTCCCAGCTCTGGACCCGAATTCCTGGGTTTGAAGCCAGCTGATTAAGACTGATACTAAGTCATTTCATTTCTTGATTTCTGAACCAAAACAAAAGTAATTCCCATTTTACCAGGTGGTTGTGAGAATTAAAGAAAATATTCATAAAGGAAACAATGCAGTGCCTGGCACATATAATTGCTTGCTGTGTTTTTCCTTCTTCTAGTAGTCTTCCCACAGACTGTGAGGTAATAATCATTTCCATATTACAGTCAGTGAACTGAGACTCAGTCAGCTCTAGCAAGTCTCCTAAAGTCACATATCTTGGAACATAGACTGGATTTGAACAACCAGTAAAAGACCACATAATATTGCCCTCCTGAGACATGTCTCAGAAGACCAGGGTTTCCTTTGGCAACCACACAAGCCCTCATGCCTTCTTGAACAAAAGATGTTTCCTTTGGCCATGCAGTTCCTTCTGCCTAGAATGTCTTTCATACCCTACTTATTACCAAACTCCCCTGCCAAAGAGAGGCCTGCACACCTTGCAAAGCTCAAAGATAAACACAGCCAGACATTATGGTGGTAACAATGTACTTTAATTAGTAATAACTACTGCAATAGGGAAAATAATCCAGTGTAAACTAAACTCAACTTGGATTTGTACAGAGTGCATGGGCATCTTTAAAGGCAGGAAATATGGAGGGGTGGTGGACAGGGGCTCTGTAGAGTCAGGAAAGTGAAAGATTAAAAAAAACAGGAAGGGAGGGGGTCGGTCTGTGTAAAAACCTTATCTTGGTTTGCTAAATTGGCACTTATCAGAGTTAGGGTCCTACCCTTCCTCAGAGGCTGGGAGACAGGGGTCTTATCTTCAGGTGTTGGCTGGAACAAACAATAAATTATTTGGGCAAGCTTGAGTTTTTCAGGCAGGCACTTTAAGGGGGCTAGTGTCACTCTAAGGATGTGGCCTTGAACCATTAGAAACTATGTTAGTATTGTTCAAGTCTATGTAGGCCAAAATTGACAGGCTTATACAAGAAGGCTCAAAGGAGTCTGGCTAGAGTTTGGTCAAAGATAAAAACTTTGTCAGGTGTCACCCCAGGGTTCCCCAACCCACTGAGGAATGGTAGTAAAGAACCGACTCTAGGGGTCAACATACAGGTTGTGAGTTTTTGCTAAGAGTTGTATGACCTTGAGAGAGTAATTTAGGCTTTCTGAGACTCAGATTCCTTTTTGGTAAAGCAGGAATGATAATAGAACCTAAGTCTGAGGAGACTGGGATTAAATGAAGTGTGATACATAACATTCTCAGAGCATTTCAAGGGCTCGATGAAGGCAGCTATTATGGTAGTTTCGTTATTGTCATTTTTCTTCTTTGTTTCTACAGCACCCTGGAAAATTAAACCAAGTCCTGATCTCTATTTTTGTAAGTGTGCTACACCCCCTGCACAAAGATCCCAGAAAATGGGCAGTAGGGGATGAGGAGTGCTTTATCTAAAACTAGCAAGGCCAAAAAAAAAAAAAAAAAAAAAAAAAAA